TTTTTTTTTTTTCTCCATCGTGGTCGGACTTCGTCGTCGACAAAAACATTGTGAATTTGCGGGGCAACTTAGGGTTAGGGTTAGATCGTCACCGGCAGAAGATGATGAAGGGGAAGGGTCGCCGCCGCCCGTGTGCATATATATATATATAATTTGTAAATTTACAAAACTGTTAGGGATATTTTAATCTTTTAATATAAATTTTACGTAAAAATGTTGTTTTGCAAAATTAAAGAGCATTTAAGTCATTTTACATCATGGCAAAATTGTTCAACTAACTGTTGGAGTGTGAATGAAAAATGGAATAAAAGTTTGTAGGGGTGTGAGTGAAAAACGCAACAAAAGTTTGTAATGTAAGTGATAGTTATTTTCAAAAGATGTTTAAGGGTGATATTTGGCCAAACATGAGGGGGTGTCAGTGAAATTAAACCTAAGATAAATCATTCCAAATTGCCTTAAATTATTTACCCAGTGTGTATGTATGGAATCACATTCTTCTTTTGTATTGTTAGAGTATGTATGTATACATACGAAATGATTTCTAGTCGGTATATATATTATATATATTGATACATATTTCGTGTTTATGTACGAAATCATGCTATATATGTAACGACCCAAATCGGGGGTCCGAATAGCTAACCGGGTCCTTAACCAAACCCCAGGACACACTAAGGGTAAAATGGTCATTTTATAATATGAAAGGATAATAAGACCTTAAACTAGTCAAATGAAGTTTAAAACAATCATTCCATGATATTCGAAGAGGTTCTACAATCATCGGTTATGAATTCTCAAAAGTATCCTTACTCGGTTCAAATGAAATTTCAAAACTATTCCACTAAAACAACCATAACTTTCAACATGAATGGAATTTAAAGATGAGGTTGGTCTCATTAGAAAGCTAACTCAAAATCCTTGAATATGGACTCTAGAATGACCCTATTTGGGTTCGGAACGAAGAATTTATGACTGCCCGAAATCAAATGATTCAAGCTGTCAAACTGAGGAAGCCAAAAAGGGACACTGGGGGACTTGAACCTGTTCAATGGGGCTGAACTGGTTCAAGATGGGCAGTGTGCTCATCCGTGAACCAAAGGCACCCCCTTGAACTGGTTCAATGGGGCTGAACCAGTTCAAAATGACTAGAATCTTAAAAATGCCCAAGAAAGCTTAAAATTTAGTACTTATGCACATAGGCACCCCTTTGATCCCTTGGTGACCACATTTAAGGTCTAAATCTGTCCCAATTCAAGCATTCAAAAGTGTGTAAAACATAATTAAACTCCTATGCCTTCAATTAAGTTGAATACGAGACCAATACATCGTTTAAAAATTCGAATTATATAAAACTCACTTTTATACAATTTCTAAAGAATTAAATACAAAGAATGAGGCCTCCATGACCAAAACTACATAGCTTTAATAAAATGAAATAAAATCCTAACTACATAAATATCCATGGATGCATATCATTCACCGGCTCGTCTCCGAATTCCTGGAAAATGTTAATGATAATAGGGTGAGCTCAACAGCTCAATAGAAAAAGCCTAAAGTACACTCTTTAAAATCCCGTGAGCCGCAACTAAAGAAAAGGGGATCAAAGAAAATGGATCATGGGATTATAATTCATATCAACATATATGAATTTTGCAAATTCATAAACCATTCCATCACACATGAAATGCAAATACTCCCTTCTCCTTTCCAACCCAATCTCACTAAAACCTTCATAACCATCAGCCTAACTTACAACACAAACTACCATCTCACTTCCTAACCTTCTCTCCCACATCAAACCTTCATCCTCTTAACTCAACCCATGCCAAGAATATGCATATGGTACTATCATTCATCAATATACAAATCATTAATTACGTCATAATTATCATATCAAAACATCCAAACATAAAAATTGATCACATAAATCATACTTTCACATTTTCTCATAGAAAATAGCATGCTTGACACAAATACAAGAAACTATCACATTCTCAACCCACAACAATTAAATCAACACTATCTCATGCTTAAAATCACAATCAAAATTTACAAACTAAGCATGCTTCACAACATCAAAATTTTCATGTAATAAAACAAATAGAAACTCACTAAAGCTATAGGACTTATAATTTAAACTTTCCCTACCTTAAGATGATTAGCCAAATAAGCCCTAAGCTTCCCAAAATTTCAAAATCCTTCTAAACCCTAGCAATATTGGCCTCAATTTGAAGTTCATGTCAAGCTATCCAACTTTCCTTCTTCCTTTCCCTCAAAATATAACCCAAACCTTTCCAAAATCAAGATTAAAGGGTGGAAGACATTCAGTGTATATAGATAGATATAGAGAAAGAAAAAGAATGGTTAGAGAGAGAAAGTATTCCACCGAAAAATGGAGGAGGAGGAAAGGTGATGGTATGATAAAAATTTGACCTTGTGGTCATTGGCTTGCCATGTGTCAACTTTTGGTTGATTTCTAATTCAAGCTAAGTTATTATAATACCCCTCCTCTTCCAATGAAATGTCATTCATACCCCACAAATACCTAGTTGAAATATATAGATAAAAGTATGTATATATATATATGTGTGTGTGTGAGTGTGTGTGTGTGTGAAAAGACCACAATGCCCCTTATTGCCAATGGCAAAACCAAGAGAAATTCCCGAACCCGAGAGTCGTCCCGACTCCCAAAAATTCTAAAATCCAACCCGTCACTTATAAATGACTAAAAATGATTAAAATTACATTTCAAAAATTCTCAACTCAAGAAAATGACTAAAACGTCCCTTGGAACACGCTTGTTACGCAAAACGAGCGTGTTGAACAAATAAATAATCTATTGGAATAAGCGTGTTCCAGAAAAATCAAATAAATTTCAGAAATTATAAAATAGGAAAAATTAGTAACATTACAATATATGTGTGTGTGTGTGTGTGTCTATATATATATATATATATATATGAAATGATCTCTGTCCGTGCAATTTTTCATAGATAGTGATACACGCAATAGTATTTACTCCGTAACTATTTTTTAGTGAGCAAAAAAGAATATACTCACTTTAATCTTAGAATTTATTTTGATTGCAAATAACTACTACGTAATTACTTTTTTCAAAAATTTATTAAATTTTCAATTATTATAAAATATGATTAAGGTAAAATAATAAAATAAGACAAAATTAAAAAAATTTGAGAGCAGGAGGATCTTAGAGTATTATTAATATATACTTATTCTACTCAATACATTAACATTTTTATTCATTAAATATTATTTTTTTGTTGACTTTTTTAATATAAGATTATATAAAATTAATCAAGTATTTATTTATTATACGTTCTATATATTAAGTAAATGTAGCAAGTGTTATATGTATCACAAACAGAGGTTGTGCATCGGGCTGGCTTCTTGTTGGAACGTTTTTTTTTTATAATTATACTATTACCCTTGAGAGGATTTATTGGCCAGAATCTGGCCCAGTGTAATAATAAGTACTCTGAAGCAAATGGAAATATGTAATTTATGTGTTGAACAAATAAATAATCTATTGGAACAAGCAATGGCAGATTTTTCTAATTGAATTGATGGAGGGAGTAAGCAATACAAAACTATAAGGCAGAAAAATAAAGATAAAAAGAGGGAGTAAGAGATACAAACTCAGGAGGAGGAACACCGGATTTGTAGATATTTCGTAAATTTCTTTCGCTTATACTATTTAGGAGTGGACAAATAATCTGTGAATCTGATTCGATTCGTGTGGATCGGATTGGATTGCTACACCCACGGATCGGCGACAGATTCAAAAAAATTGAATCTGTAGCTCACGGATCGGATCACAAATTGAACTGTTAAAAATTTGTTCCGATCCGTGAGTCCGATCTGATCCGATTCATGAAATATATATTAGTTAATGATAATTTAATGAACTCTAATGATATATTATTTAATAATTATTTAACATTAATAAATTAAAATATTATCTATTAGGTTATGGTTAAAAGATAAATAAATAATAAATAATATTAATTATAAAAATAATAATGGATAATTTAGATAAAATGCAATCCGCGAATTTATGTGGGATAACGGATTAATAGCGTATTAAGTTTGTCTAATCCGTTGGGAGCGGATCGGATTAAGATTGATGGCTAATCTGATCCGATCCGATCCATGGCAACCCCTACTTATATCCACGACGACCCCTTTTGAGCTTTTCTTTAAAATTGTTTTCCTTCGGGTGAAAACTAAACACTTACAAATCTTTCGTTGAAGGTGAACAGTAACCCTTGTATGCCCGAAAACTCATCAGATGGGCGGTCACGATTGGATGACTCACGAAAGGGGCGGTAAGATCGGTTGGTCGTGAGGTTTCTCGAACTTTAAATGCGATCGGGGTGAAAAGTGTGATGGGTAGTGCCAATATGTTCAGAGCTGCCTCCTAATATTAAGTTTTGGTGTGCTAGGTCACCTAAATGAGCTCTTGTGAGTAAAATGGGAAGTAGTGTGATGTAAGCCCTGGTGTGACTCTCTACTAGTCATCGTGAACCAAATCAATGAGTTTGAAGGTTCGATTACACTTGCCGGAGGGGTTCGGCACTCCAAAACACTCGCATCAATATTGTTAATTTGACTCTCTAACTAATAATTTCGAAATTTGCCGAAAATGTAAGCGTGTGAGTTTCTTAACAGAGTGGAACTTTCTACTCTAGGTTAAACATTTGTATTTCTTTTAGGATGCATTTATCAGTATGAAATTCGCACCTTGAAATTGAAATTGAAGAATTAGAATTCTGGTGCATTCTAATTTCAATTCCAATTCTAAAATCAAGATTTCAAGCTGACACAGTTTTCGGACCCTATAGACATGTTTTTCTTCTTATAAAATCTTATGCCATAACGAGGAGCAAAGAATTGGATACTGTAACCATAATGACTTGCTGCAATGTCCGTCACTAAATCAATCGCCACTTAAAAAATGTACACTTACAATAGCGCACACATACACACTGACTTGGGGATGGGTGGGGAAACTGAGTAGAACTATTAAAATAAAAGATGAATTGCAAGTTTATAACCACCAGAAGCCCTGCTTATACTAAAAATGCAGGAAAAAAAATGAACAATCAATATTATATGTAAGAACACCCTCACAACAAAGGAAGCCAACCATTTTCAGTCAATCCTTGCAGAACAGGAAAACAACCGTTTTCAGGACTTCTGCGGCAACAGTGGCTCCAATTGTGGGTCTGTATCTTTCGAGGCCATGGGATTCCTATCACCAGATTCCAACTCAGTGCTCGAGTTCCGCTCTATGTTTCAATAGCCTCCGAAAGATACTTGGTTTTTCCCTGGTTGTTCCTTCGTCTGGTGTCTTGGATGTTTCTTTTAAGCTCTGTACATGTTGAAGGCAGACTTGAAAAGCGTCATGCACTCTGACAAAGTACCACTCTCTACCAATCAGATTGACAACACCAGATTTTGCCATGGTCAGAAGAACATCTTGGCTCGGATTGGCAATGGCCATCTGCAAACAGAACCCATATGGTGGCAATGAAAAATCAAATTAAGTTCTCAAGAGATTTAACAATGCATACTAAATTTAAAATCCCGGATTCTTTCATCAAGTGGGACTTCCAACCTGGATGTCCCGTGACTTGTGATCCTGACACAGCTCTTTCAAAGATTAAATAGCACTTGAGTCTATATATGTAACGGCTGGGGAAAAATAAAACTAAAATAAATAAAGAACGGTTGAAATATAAGAGATTCACTTCAAAACAGTATCATAATTTATTCAAATTCACCAGAAAACTTGGCAATGGAAGATAAGTGAGAGAAATGAGGAGTAAACTCATATAAAACTAAGGATTACTCCAGGAGTATAACCTAGAAAAATCTGATACCCGCCGGCTATCTTAACCAACTTAAGATGTCAACAGATGAGGTATTGAGCATGGAGATCATCAGAGCCATCTATTGAGTAGTTAATGGGGGTACCAAGTATTTATATGAACCATGCATGTGTTATATCCAGTAGGCTTCTGTACTATGTCATTTTAAGGAAGCATTAGTTTTCACCTGTCTTTGATGTAACTTGAAAATATACTGGGGCATCAATTCAAACAATGACAAATCCCATTGTATGTATATGCTTCGGGGTACTGTTGAATGCTTCTATACACGGTGATGCATGGAAGACGGCCCAAGACAGCTGCAGAATGAAACAAATTGATGAATAAGCAGGTAAAAGTGTATCCTGAAGTTTTGACTCAAGCACATATGAACACAAACAGAAAAAACAAGGATTGAGCTCTTAGGTCTAATTTGTGACCAAGACAGCAAAGGACACTCACTATCCAGAAAGAAGGAATAGAACTTCGACCTAGAAAGAACAATTCTGATTATTATTTAGGCCTGGCCAATTCCTGTCTTCGGCTGGGCTGATTACACTGTAACTATTACTTTACACGAGACACAGTTTTTTTTCTTGTTTTTTTTTTTTACACGAGAGACAGTTGAGTGCCCAGTAACTTTATATAAAGAAGGAATGATGTCATTATTGTTATTCTTGCTTTTTATATGAATAAGGAAAGAGCCTTCCAAAATAAAAAGAGTAGCATGTAATAAGGTCACGGTGACGCTGGTTGCCAAACAGATTGTTAGGGCTCATTGTGTAAATAAGGAAAGATCCTCCTTCCCATTGAGGCCTCAAGTATTCCAATTGCGAAGCGAAACCCGGTGGACATCGATGGCGACGGCAATCGGACTCATGCTAATGCAAAGATCCCGGAAGAGGGTAATCGCTGCATCGAGGTCTGTGCCCGAGGAGGAGGAGGTCGAGAAAACTGTGTATCTTCGCGCAAGTGCGACGTTGCTTAACAAACAGTCTAAAAAGACAGTGTCGGATTGGTACGTTATTAAGTTATCAAGCAAGGATTGCACTGAGACGACGACTCAGAAGAGAAGGACGAAGACAGGAGGTGGTGGTTTAGTACTGTGCAGAAAAAGAAGAAGAAGAAGAAGAAGAAGAGAGGAAGGATCAAAAAACCAGCAGGATCTCAAATCGATCATGAAGTACACCACCAATTACTCGTTGCATAGCCGCTTTGCGGCTGTGGGCTCCACCATATACTGCACTAATGCCGCCAACGACGTCTCCCGCCATGTCATTGCATTGGACATTACGAATCCTAGTACTAGTTTGGAGTGGCAATCCGTTCCTTCCATGAACATCAAAAGGGAAGGACGTTATACTGAGGCAGTAACGGCGGACGATGGTAAGATCTATGTGTTTGGTGGTTTGAACCGTTGGAAACTAAAACCCAGCAACGAACGATTTGAAGTGGAGGTTTTCGACCCGAGACAGAACACCTGGGAGGCTGTGAATCCACCGCCTCAAGAGATGTGGCGACTGGAATGTGATTGTCTTGTATTTTCAGTGTATGATTATAGTTCAAGGAGGATTATTTTGGGTTCGCGTGATGGTTTCTTCCTTGTCTATGATTTGAGAGATGCTTCTTGGGGAGTTCTACCCAAAAAGTTTAGTAGATTGGATGACCAAATCAGTCGCCCCGCATTCTTTGATAACACTCTTTACTGGATTCAGATTGTGGACTACAACACTTATAGGTGCGACGTATGTGCCTACGATTTGGATCTCGGAATGATAATTCGCGGCCATATCATGGATGTAGAGCCTAGCTTTTGCCTTTCCCGCATTAGTTCCATGCGTTTTATTCATTTTCGTGGTGATGAGTTCTACTTGATTTGGGTTTACTCCAGACGTTGGGTTCGATGCGAGAGAATGCAAGTTTTAAAACGGGTTGACATGGAGAAGCGACAAGGTAGCCTCCAATGTTGTGTCCTTTCCACCAAAGCTTATATGCTTGACACCGAAGCAAGCAACACCGAATCAAGCGATATCGATGCTGTGGTGCTGTAATGTTTCACTCTCCACTTTCTAACCGGTGTTGATAATTTATTTTTGGGAGTAATTTTGATTGGCGAAAATGTTTTTAGTGTTTTTTCACTATATATATATATATATATATATATATATATATATTTGGTTATGTTTTTAAACACTGCAAAAAGCCTTGCACTTCGCTTAGGCTCTGTTTGAAATGGTACAAGTGTCCTTGTGTTGTGTGGTATAGCACATTGACTGGTTCTTTGATGGTTTTATTTCTGAAAAGCGTCAACCATATGTTTTCAAGTCAGATTTCAATTCATCAGAACTTCTTAATCGTGTTGTTCGCACTTCTAGCAGGTATTCAACTAAGGTTCTAGCTAACAAAACCATATTTCCGACATCATTTTCCCAACTAGAACATACCTTAATTATAAAATGAGGCCATGTACCAATTCCATCCCATCAGCTCCACCGCTCACTGCATACTGCCCAAACTATATATACACATTTATATATATATATATATAGAGAGAGAGAGAGAGAGATAACAGGTTGAATGTAATTTATGGTTGGATTATTGGCTACCAAACGGTCCTCTTCTTAATCAGCAATAAACAGAGGTGGACTTGCTGCAGAATAACCTTCATATGACAGTTGACAGCATCATAACCCGATGGACCATACCTGCAGTTCTCAATGCATTAACCATCTTAGTAGTATTCCACCACCTATTGATGACAGGGACTCAGTCCAATGGATTGCTTCCACCACCTATTGATGACAGGGACTCAGTCCAATGGATTGCTTCACCCTCATCTTCCTTCTCCTTCTTGCATACCCTTTCTTGATAATTCAGCTACTGCAGACAAGCATTGGCCTAATGCCTGTCATGTCTGCTAACGAGTCCATGGATCATCTTTTCTTCATACTACTTTATGCATCAATGAACCTGTGAATTGGTGCTCCACTAATTGGAATGCTAAGGGGAGGATTGGGATCGTGATAGGGATAGGGATCAAACCTTCTCTGCAAACTCCTATTGACTGCAGCTGCGTACCTTGTGTGGCAGGAGAGGAACAATGGAGCCTATCCAGGCAAAGTTTCCTCCCCTTGGCCTCGTTAAGAGGACTGTTACCAATAAGGCTAGCAGTCATCAAGTTCATCTCTGCCTCCATTCTTCGACAATCATCTTCTCATCAGGCACTGCAGAGTATATTATTTTGCAACAGGACAACGCCTTGGCTGCTGGGAATAGATGGCTTCTGGACTTGCATTGAGGACAATCTGGATGACACTCTTCTTAGGATCTTCTCTTGCTTTGGTTTCAATCTGGATGACACTCTTCTTAGGATCTTCTCTTACTTTGGTTTCGACGTCTCTTTCGTCGTGGTGGTGGTTTTTTTTTTTCGGTATTTGCTTTCTCTTAATTTCTTTGTTTATTGATCATATGTACTCCTTTGGGTTCATTTCTGTCCCCTCTTTTGATGCTCTGTAGCTTGTTGGCTATTAAGCTTCTCTTCAACTTTCTCTCATCCTAAGTAGGACAGTCACTAATTCATATTGCTTTTCTTTCTTATAAAATCTTATGCCATAACAAGGCAGCAAAGAATTGGATAGTGTAACCACAATGACTTGCTGCAGTGTCTTGTCATTATTAAATCAATCACCACTTCAAAAAATGTACAATTACAATACCACATTGATACTTGGGGATGGGTGGGGCAACTGAGTGGAACTATAAAAAAATGATGAATTGCACAAGTTTATAACCACAAGCCCTGCTTACACCACAAATGCAGGAAAAAAAGAATAATCAATATTATACGTAAGCACTCCCTTGCAGAACAGGAAACCAACCGTCTTCATGACTTCCGCGGCAACAATGGCTCCAATTGTGGGTCTGTATCTTTCGAGATACCAGATTCCAACTCAGTGCTCGAGAATCGTTCCGCTCTATGTTTCAATAGCCTCTGCAAGATGCTTGGTTTATCCTCGGTTGATGCTTCTTCTGGTGTCCTGGATGTTTCTTTTAAGCTCTGTACATGTTGAAGGCAGACTTGAAGAGCGTCATGCACTCTGACAAAGTACCACTCTCTACCTATCAGATCGACGACACCAGATTTTGCCAGTGTCAGAAGAACATCTTGGCTTGGATTGGCAATGGCCATCTGCAAATAGAACCCATATGGTGGCAAAGAAAAATAAAATTAAGTTCTCAAGAGATTTAACAGCACATGTTAAATTTATAATCCTGGATTCTTTCATCAAGGCTTCCAACCTGGATGTTCCGTGACTTGTACTCCTGATGCAGCTCTTTCAGAGCTTGAACAGCACTTGAGTCTATATATGTAATGGCTGCGGAAAAATGAAACTAAAATAAATAAAGCACAGTTGAGATAACTCGGCAATGGAACATAAGTGAGGAATGAGGAGTCAACTCATATAAAACCAAGGATTACTCCAGGAGTAAAAGTGTATAACCTAGAAAAATCTGATACCCGAAGCCAAACAGACCAACTATCTTAACCAACTTAAGAAGTCAACAGATGAGGTATTGAGCACGGAGATCATTAGACCCATCTATTGAGTAGTTAATGGCGGGTACTAAAAGTATTTATATGAACGTTGTTAGTGTTATGCTGTTAAGAAACTGTATTTTGAATCTAAATGAACGGTCAACAAGTCTTTGAGAATGTCGAGAGAATTTTTGCAATGCCAACGATTAGCTAAAAAATATTAATGACTAAAAACTAATATTAAGAGGAAAAAACAAACGGTTAGGGCAATGGAAAGAACCAAGACTTAAAAATTATCCATAATTCCGTTAAGCATATAAATACACACACACATCCATAGCACCACAAGAGAGTGAGCAGATTATACCAACTTCACAAGAAAATATCCTGCTATAATGAAATTAGAACATATATTCTCTAAATAGCCATCAAATATCCATCTTTACCGTGATGAATTATTGAATTAAAATGACTAGTAGACCAGGGGTGTAAAACAAGCTAGGCAAGGTCAGGCTGGTCCTAAAGCTTTCAGGCCAATGTCTGGGCCATTGGGCTCCCACCCTTTCTTCGGTCCAGGCCAAAGTGCCGAGGATTTCAAAACCAAGGCCCAGGCTCAAGCCTCAAGCTTAGATGCCCAAATCATGCCTTAAATTCTTCTATAGAGTAGAAACAAAGCAAGACAATGCAAGGTGACATTTTTGTCCGTTTTGCACGAACAAGAAAGCATAAAGAATAGAGATCCAAAGACATAGGTCTATAACAAAAAGTGTTTATGCAAAATAAAGATACAGATTTTAGCACAAGTCAAAAGAGCACTTGGACTTCTGAAAAGTAGAAAATAAGTGGAAGGTGATGAAAACTTACGTGCCATCTCTATAATCACAAAGTAAATTCTATCAACCTCTGGTCCACGTCTTGTAGATCCGTCAACCTCAACTTCATACTCCCGTAACCTGATAGAGAAAATTCTGTATGATTCAAAATTTTATACCTTTGACTAATTACGAAAGAACAAACAAGCTGGTGTCACACTTGCAGCAGCACAACTAGTAGGCTTCTGTACTATGTCATTTCAAGGAAGCATTAGTTTTCACCTATCTTTGATGTAACTTGTATTGGCAAAATACATTGGGGCATCAATTCTAACAATTACAATTCCATTGTATGTATATGCTTCTGGGTACTGTTGAATGTTTCTATACACAGTGGTGCCTGGAAGACGGCCCAAGACAGCTGCAGAATGAAACAAATGGATGAATAAGCAGGTAAAAGTGTGTCCCAATGTTACGACTTAAGAACGCATAAACACAAACAGAAAAACCAGGGTTGAGCTCTTAGGTCCAATTTGTGACCAAGACAGTTAAGGACACTCACTATCCAGCAAGAAGGAATAGAACTTTGACCTAGAAAGAACAATTATGGACATAGTGGAAAGATGAAGTAAAATAACAGCACTTATTTCTTTAAGTTGAAACAAGACTTCAACAAAAATGAAAAATATGATTGTGATTACGACGGCAATAACAATGACAACAAACATGATTGCTACCATCCTGCCAGAGAAATAGAAACTGAATCAAAGAAAGAACATGCATAACATGTTTATATCTCGGAGTCCAAGAAATGATGATGGTTTTACGTGGGAGTATAAAATACATTCATAATCATTAAAACAGAATAAGGAAACTCACCAATATGGGGATTTGCTGATTCATGGATAACAAATGCGAGTGAAACACCAACCTGCAATTTTGAAAAAAAATGCAACATTTAATAAGATAAGCTTTAATAAGTGTTCAAACAGCATTCATGCACTGCCTACACATTTACAGCACTAATCTGTGATGCACTAGCAACTGCAGAACTGAGGGAGGTGAATTTGTTTTCAAGTGCTAAAATGGAAAAATGCCACCAGAAGTCACTAAAATACTAACAATGTTACACCCTTTGAAGGACATATATTAGGACATAAGGAGGAGTAACTACTGAAAAGAAAAAGAATACACATGAGCTCTTTATGAGTTCCGAATAATCATGCCCCTTCGTTGAGAATTTATGGTTGATTTTGTTGTGCAGTGCAATAAACAAGGAAAGGGCTTTTGTTGAGATTTGGTTACTTCTACAAGAGTAGTACAACACACTTGTCTCTATGTTACCTACATTAGATACTATTAAGTCCCTCAAGTGAGAATAAGGAACATCAGCATAACATGGAAAAGTTGATGCATATAAATTTTTTTTTCCTGAATGAAGTTGATGCATTTAGAATCCTTACAAATCTGAAAATTTTAAGCTGTCTTGGGGCGTGAAAAGTTGAAACAAGGACATTAAAGTACATTCCACAAAATTTAAATGCATAAAAGATTATGTTCAATATACTATCATATACTTTACTTACCCCAATAAGGACACCAATCTCTATACCGAGGAATAAAGTAGTTGTGCTAGTAATGGTCCAAAGAAGAAAATCTTTCTTATCTACACGCCATAAAAAAATAGCCTCATCATAATCCACCTGAAATGATAAGCATGAAGGGGGGAAAAGAAAGATGTAACTTTGCAATCTGAACAAGACAATATCAGTAATTCAGTAATTCTCTTTCACTTTTTTGTGCACCTAAATGACAGGCAATCAACTGTTACAACAGCTCCTAATAGAAGGATACCATTCTGAGGGATTTGCAAGAAATCAAATATGTTCTTTCCCGACCTATATGAACTGATGCTTTACACTAGTCTGAAGTCCCAAATTGAACATTTTGAAGCTTCAAATCAAGGTCTATGTCTGATGCCTACAGATAAGTTGTGGTCACGGACACAAGAATAATAATACTTTCAAAGTTGAAGAATAATAACATTAGTTCTTTGCACAATAAGATGGGTAACAGGTATTTCAATAATTAAAAAATAAAATAAAATGTATCTAGACATTGAAGATAATTCTATCTATCAAAGAGGAAAGGAAAATAATAATGTTTGCAATGTGACACTGATTTATAAATAACAATCTTATATTCCTGTAAGTTCACAATACAGTATGCAATCATCGATTGATAGGTTCCGAGATGTAATAACAATCTTATATTCCTGTAAGTTCACAATACAGTATGTAATCATCGATTGATAGGTTCCAAGATGTCTAATAAAACACAAATAACTGAGAAGAATAGCTTTATGAATGTTTGGTAAAGTTCCAAGATGTCTAATAAAACACGAATAACTGAGAAGAATAGCTTTATGAATGTTCAACAAACATACTCTTAAATGATTAAATCTTCACCCCAAATTAAGAACATAAAAGCAGTTTTGATGCGATCAATAGGCACAAGTACACAACTATCCTTCTGGATATGTGCTATTTAAGTGTAGGATGAGGAACCCTCCTCCAAGAGAACAAAATTTCAGAATCCAGTCAAGCTAATAATTTATTTTTAGCACAGCCTAAATTGCTAATTGCAAAGAATGGCGCCTATACTATGGATTACAAATAAATGACTATGGCAGTAGGTTCTCCTGAAAAGTAATCAATGCACCTTATACAATAGCACATTGAGTAGTACAACAACCATGAGAACCCAAGCAAACATATTAACTTCATAATCTGGAAACATATCATACTCACCAGCCCAATTACTGCAGAGATCACAATAGCAGCCAGAGCACACTGCAGAGGTCATTGAGACCACAGAACCCATAGTGAGCATTGCTTCATTAAAATCAAACTAACAGGGTCACTAAAACAAAATCCAAAAATAAAAAGATGGTTGCAATGCTAGCTAGCATCTTAGTCTCTGAAGGTTACTTCTTCTAGTGAGCACACCGAAAAAATTACTGAAATGATATTTTGAGCAAAACTTGATGGTGGAAATTGGAATTCACAGAATAAGACATGGTAAATGAGCCCGTAACAGCAGGTATGAAACTTTTCTAAAAGATAGAAATAATGCATGAACAGCAAAACCATACCTGGGGTATGTATTCGAACAATGGAGTTAGAAACAAAAGAGCGCAGCCCATTATGATTCCCATCACAATTCCAGATAAGCCAGTTTTGGCCCCACTTTCGTTATTCACAGCAGACCTAGAAAAGGAACCTAGAATGGCATTCAAAAAAATAACCTTGTTTTAGAAGCATGTCACAGTAATAAAAGGTTCATGATGCACTGAGCTATAAATAATGAAACTTATTGTTTTTGTTAAATATTCATCTTTAAGAACAGAAAACGCATGACCTTTAGCAACCTCGAAAATCTCACCTGTTGTAGGGTATGCTGAAAAGAATGAACCAAAGATATTGGCTACACCAAGACCAAACAACTGTTGAAAGACAAAATTTATATGTTAAAAAGTGGTTTAATTTTTATTTTTCTTTGCAAGATTGCTAAAGAAGCAAATATGTTGCTACTTCTAGTTAAGATGGCTAAGAATTAAGAACTAAAAAAAGCACCAACACATCTTATGTTGCTATTTTTCCCCCTTCTTCTACAGTATGCAGCAACTATAATAAAAATATCCACCAGTATAGAGCATGCAACTATATTTTGTGTCAACCTATAGTGAAGCAATAAGTAATAAGAGTACACATCAAGCACTTCGACAGGTATTCCTATAACATGCAAGTGCAGTTAATATAATGATTTTTTTGGTAATTAATATAATAGGATTTGTAAAGGTTGTAAATCAGCATACCTCTTGATTTGCATCCAACTCATACCCATTCTTTGCCGCCAATGCTTTAGCAATCCCCACAGATTCCTTGAGTTTAAAAGATAATATGGTTGAAGGGATATTTACAGTTCATATCTAGAAAACAAAAAACTATGAATTATTTTACTTCACTTACCAATATAGCCACACCAGTAATGAGAAGTGTAGTTGGAATCAAAGACTTCACATACCCAAAATCTTTAGGAATGGAGAATTTTGGGAGTCCCTGAGGTATATCTCCTACCTAACAAAATAGCATTATTTACAAGCTCTGATTGCAATCACACTTAAATTAAATTAAATTTCTCAGTAACGAAATAGAATTCTTGTAAGACGGCTAAACAAAATATTATTAATATACTGATGCCAAATGGGGGGAAAAAAAACATATTGGTTAATCAGTAGAAAGTCCATCTCAAACATCACTTCAATATAATTTTATCTAAAACACCATGTCTGACCAAGACTGCATGATGCATAGAACTCTCTTTTGTAGTTGGATCGTAATCCTTCCATTACTCTTCTCCCTGCTTCACCAGTTATCTTATCCAGAACCTTCACAAACAGAGGGCAAATGCAACCCAATCTATTGAACTATCAAAGTCATAGTCCACACCGATATTTTATCACGGTTTCTCTTTCCAAATATCCAAATATTTTGTTCCATAATATCACATAAATATGGTTTTTTTTTTTTTTTTTTTTTTTTTTTTTTTATGTTCTTGTCCCGGAAAACAAGAACAGAACAATAAACTAAAGAAATTCCTGATGTATATTATAAATTAAGTGAACAATTTTGTCAATGTATTTACCATTGAAATGAACAATTCTGTTTTTTCATAGTACAGAACAATTTTATAATACAGAAACACATTGAAATGCAAACCAACAAATTGCTAGTTCCTTATGTTGTGTTTTTTTTCCCCGAGAATTAGTGCCTTGTGATATGCTAACCAAGAAAAAGAAAAAAAAAAATCAAACAAACTTACTTTACAAATGAGATCTACAAAGTATATTAGGTCACCAAGCAATGAAATGTACAAATAATTAGTGAAGCTAAGATGAGAATACAGAGTGAATTAGGCCAGTAAACAATGAGATGTACAATTGATTAGGTGGATAAGGGATGACAACTATGAGATAGAAACCACTAAAGAACGAAAATCCGAAAACCCGTCTCCTAAGTCCCGAACTAAGGTAGAAGAACAAGGGAATTGAAACATGTTGATCATGAACAGAGATGACCAAAAGATGAGTTTGGCTGTAGAGTAACTAGACCACAAACAAATGAAATGTACAATTGATTAGTGGATTTCAGATGCAAATGCGTAAAAAACAAATACCCAAAAACCCAAGGAATGGAGAAAGGTTCGCCCGACATCCCCTATTTTCGCTTCAAAGGATGAAATCCAGCCTTCCAGTACGTATACCTTCTGGCAGGTATGATTGTTAGCAGTCAGAGCAGGCATATGCCAAGAGAAGTCTTCCAAATGGGCTAGAAAAAGGCTAGCTGTAGGATACAGTCACCGCTTTGAAGGGAGGACCGGGGGGGTTCGGACTCATTGGACCAGACAGATAGTGGATACAAGGTCCACAGCAAGAAGGTTGGGACAGTAGTACGCCTGGTTCACCTCACCATCTTCTACCACCGCTGTCTGCATTCAGTAACAAGTCATTTGCACATGGGGAAATCCATTATTCAACAACATATCAATTCTTCCCCTGCCCCTAGAATGGAACTAGACCAGACAAGGTCTTCTCATCCATCTCATCTAGCGGCTCTTGTTCAGCTAACAGTAGAGGAGAGGGCATTTGACAAGAAATCAAACCGCTCCTTCAAGTCACAGAAAATCAAGAAGAAAGGCTAAGGGAACCCCTGTATGTCCCGAGCATACTGGCAGCTGCAAGGTCTCTCCTAAATCCCAAAATTAAGGTAGAAGAACAGAGGAGTTGAAACAGATTGGTCATACACAGAGATGGCCAATGATGGCATTTGTCGAGAGAAGCGAGTTAGTGCTAGATGAAGGATAAAAAATGGACACAAATGCAATCTATGACATGTATATTTAGTAGGAAACTATTAAACTGTTAACGGTTAAACAAATTAGCCAATACATGGTTTCACCAGCGCCTCCAGTTCATATCCATGATGTTTCCTCAAATGGGAAGGAAACCCTATGGAAAGAATATCACCACATGAACAGTAATATCCTCCCAACATCCAGTGTATAGTTGTATATGTAATGAAATTAGCCCCAAAAAAGAAAGCAATATCTTCAACACATTGGAATAGCATGGCGGTTTCTCTGCAGCTGGGATAAGACAAAGTATCTGATATTGACAGTCTGGCGTTAGTTTTGGTTAAGGTTACTTCTTCAGGGACAAGTTAGCTATCTTCTAGTCGATGGCATTTGACGAAAAGGAAAGATCTCTGCCGACGATCCTCAGGCCTCGACACTGGGTAGATGCAAACTTTATAGTGATAATTTAAATTAACATTTAGTTAAATGCAAACTTTATTTTGATAATTTAAATTAACATTTAGTTAAATGCAACTTTCTCATGACTATTGCTACTACTCAATTCCAGTAGTATAAAGTGAGGTACATTCATGTTACTCACCAAAGAAATGGAAGATGGATTAAATATTTTCACAACGGCTGTACCCAGAACCACTGCTGTAAGGGGCCCAGCTGCTCGCAGAAACCGCAAGTACTTCCTTGATTTCCCCTACACATTAAACAATTCAAAGCATTAAAGAAAAATAAATTGATACAAATAGAGACAAGTGCTCACTTCATTTAAAAACAGAAAAAGAGCTCATACCAAGTGCTTCATGACCAGAAGAATTGCTAGAATGATAGATCCCATTACAAAAGGAGGCCAAGAAAACTACAAAAGGAAAACACTTCCTGTAGTTAATAAAAGAAAAAATAAACAAGTGAAGACCTAGAGTAAAACAATCAAACAGAAAGTTAGATGGAATAACATAGTGAACGATGTCTCACTAATAACGATTGACCAGTACAGATGACAGGAGAAAAGTTTCAACACCATGTACTTAAATATCAAATAGCACTCATGGTTTCAGTATCAGTGGCTATCAGGTTCAGAACTAGCTGGTGTATCAAAGGTACCAAAAGTACGACAATATTGATAAATGATAGTGCTTCTTCAAGTGTGCAAGTCAAAATGTCAATATCACTGCATCCCAAGTATAGCAGCCACATAAGTCATGCATTTTTGTTCCTGAAAGGGGCAAAACCCTTTCTTCCTCGTTTTACCTTGTAGCATAATGATTTTCATGACACCGTTTCAACCAAAGTACGAATTTTTTTTTTTTTTTTTTTTTTTTTTTTTTTTTTTTTTTTTTTTTTTGAGAATAACACAACCAAAGTATGATTTTGGAAGGTCAAACCTAGTTCGAAGGGACTTGAGCTAGACTTAAGCTCTTGCTTGTAAGCTTCAGGAGTTTTTTGAAAATATAAAGTTATTTAAAAACTCAAAAGTTTGGGATTCTCATTAAGGTGCGGCAATGCATTCCTTACCAAGTCTGAAGGAGTCTATTGTCATTTGATTAGCTTTTCAGGTTTGTCTAACAAATAAAATTAGAAGTATTTCAGGTCAACTCTATTTTTGCTAGAATAATAATTACATAAATAATCAAAAGAAATAGTGAAAGTAAACAATCAGTCATACTTATTAGAAACAATAACAGCATAAAAAGCCAATATAAAGTTCCCTACACATGGCAAGTCATATATATATATATACATGTTAGAAGAATATTACTATTGTTTTAAATTGGATTACAAGGAAAAGAGAAATCTTCACATGCATGCCTAAAGCATTCAGAGAGTTTTCTTATCCTTAAAAAGGAAAATTCAATAGCTTCACCCAGTACATAATCCATAACCTAACAAATGTGATCATCCTATATCATTTGAGCAACCAAACACTAGAGAAATTTTCAATTATGAATATAACCAATACAATAAAGCTGGAGATACAAGCAAAAGTGTTTAAAATGATGGCAATGGTCTAGACATAATGTGAAAGCATATTTTATGCAAGTATTATTTAAAAAAGAACAGCATGATACTCAATTTACCAATAAATACAATTACAAGATTTCATTCAAATAATTACATCAAAACTTAAAAAAATTCATTCAAGCTATTAAAGTAATTGTGATTACATCTCAATCTTATAAAATACAAATCCCTGAAAGTTGTGCACATAAATCAACAAGAAGGTGTATACAAATGCAGTTATAAAAATAAAACGATTACCATGCAAAAGACTTATCATAGACATGCAAAGCATACCTCATCCGCTCCAGATATGATACTCTTGACCAATGGGATAATTTTGCTACTCCGTTCTATATCATAGCCCAAGAAATATTTTGCTTGAGACAAGGCAATCACAATGGCTGAGGCAGTTGTAAAGCCAGAAATTACAGAGTGGCTGATGAAACGAATAAGCCATCCAAGTCTAGAGCAGAAAAATAGGACCAAGATTCTTTGTTAAAAGGCCAAAAAAATATTAGAAAACCAATTCATAAAAATATAAAAGATGTAGATCTTGTGAAGCTGAAGAGGTTGACCACAATGGGGTTCATGCTGAGTCTCCACCCAACTCTAAAAGGAAAAAAGGACGGCGCAATAGGGCATATTAAGCTAGTGTAGTAGTCCTATTGTCAAACAGAAAGGCTCACACTTACAGAATTTGCTGGACATGGAGATCAGAGATTTTTGGAATTACACTGCTTCAGCATTACTCTTTGACAATATTATGGCCAGAACAACCAAACGACTGACATGGTATCATAATTTATTATGTAGCCATAAGAATATGGATTTTTCAGCATGTTAAAATTTTTGAAACCATCAATTCTAACAAGAAGTCCGTGAGTCTTTCTGCAGCATTAAAATGATGCAGATTCCCCCATATGTCCAGAGCAAACTGAACTTGAAATACACATGATATATACATCATAAATACAAAGATTTACAACTTTAAAAAGTGTAAAAGAATATAAAATGACTTGATTTCCAGAGCACAAAAAAGATAGCGTGGGTACCTTAGAAGCCCCATTATGCATTCTAAAATTCCAACCAACAGCGCCAATAATATTGCAAGTTCTGTGTATAACGCATCGGAAGAATCAACAATGCTGCCTAAGACATTAGAGACCAGGAGGGAAACCAGTGCTACTGGACCAATTGCTAGCTGGCGAGATGACCCAAATATGCCATAGACAAATATAGGCACAAAACCAGAATCTGCCTTGCAAAGCCAAACCAAGAATGCCAGAGTTACATAGGTGGTATGATTTATAAGCGGGTGTAAAGCAAATAAGTCATCATATAAATGGCAAAATAGGAACAACCAAGTAGCCCCATTGCAATGCAGAAGTACCGTGGCAATGCAAAACGCCACTCTATAATCACCTATGTTACATGGACTCTTCAAAAGTAGGTGAGGTACCCGTGTCGAACACACAATACTCTAACATGGGTATGGGATATGTGTCCTATACTTGTGGTTGGACATGCACCTAAAACACAAATTCAATTATTCAATTTTATTAAAATTATTATTTTATTTATTTATTTTATAAGTGATTCAATTTTAATTTATCATTGCTTCAAAACAAATAAAATGTTTATATCAGACACTATGTTACACAAATATATAATTTTACTCTAAAAAAAATAAAATAGAAATATTAATTAATTTGAATATTTAGTTGTGTCCATGTGTCCTTCTGTTTAGAGATTTGACACATCCGATGCGTGGATACATACCCGTACTCGACACACGTACTTAAATCCAGGTAACATAGATCATCACACTAGGTTATTAACAAACCAAAGGTAAAGTTTGCAGGTTTAAGCACCTGCAAAATTCAAAAGGCAACAAACTATATTTACAGTGCAGAGTTTGTTTTGTCTTGCCTAAATTTCCAATGGAAAAATAATTAAACAAAATTTGTTCCAGAATTCAACTCAACACAGTCTTCTTCCAACTCTTGGGGTTAGCTACATGAATCATAATTTTCCATTCTTCCATTTTGATTTCATCCATAATTCGCAAAGGATGAATCTAATTTCAAGGTTGAAGTTCAAAAAATTGCATTATTGCACATATAAGAAAAAAAAATATAACTATTTCTTTAGGAAATGCTATAAAAACAAGCTGAATGGTGTAATGATCTCATGATAAACTTACAAAGTCCATATATTGGTTGCAGCCCAGCTAACTTCGCATAAGACATTGACTGGTCAAGTTGAAGTGTTAAAGAAAAAAGTCAAACATACAGAATTAATAATATAAATATATATATATAAACAATTTAAATGAATATTATAACCACATAAACCCCAATACCATTGAAAGATATTTCAAAATTTTATAAAGACCATATAACAATGAGAAGCAAATACCATAATAAAATACAGATGAAGTTACTCAACAGGAGTAAAAAACAACCCATCAAATCATGAATAGTTTAATTGCTCAAAGCAACCAAAACAATTCAATACACAGAAAAGTGTCATCCACGCACTAAGATTCATGTAAAAGTTAATTTATGGTAGAGTTTTAGAAAATTTATTTTATTTTATATATCAATTAATAAATATTTTTTATATTAATAATACTTGTCTAATTAGATTTTTTTATTAAAAAATTTATAATAATAAATAGATAAATAGGTTAATTTAAATTTTATTAGATAGTTTTTAGAGTTTGATAGAGTTTTATATATATATATATATATAAATCTTTTCATATCAATTAATAAATATTTTTTTTATATATAAATAGATACTTAAATACTGAAACTCTTTGCACATTTAATAATAGTATAGATAAAAACTCTTTTTATATCAATTAATAAATATTTTTTTAATATAAATAAATAAATACTGAAACACTTTGGCAGAACTTCTTATTTTACTTTGAAAATTAGACTTTCTTTTATTAAAAAATTCATAATCATAAATAGATAAATAAGTTAATTTGAATTTTATTAGGTAGATTTTAGAGTTTTATAGAGTTTTTTTTTTTTTTTTTTTTTAATGAAAACTCTTTTCATATCAATTAATAAATATTTTTTTATATAAATAAATAAATATTGAAATACTAAAACTCTTTGACAGAGTTTCTATATTCTGTATTTTATATATAAATAAACAAATAAATATTGAAACTTTTTAGCGGAGCTTCTGTAATTCTGAGTTTATGCCCCTATGAATTTCACTCTTTATATTTATCTAATTAGATTTCTTTTTATGAAAAACTCATAATAACAGCTAATTTGTGGTAAAGCTTTATAGAAATTATTTTATTTTCTTTAAATATATTCTTGTCTAATTTAATTTCATTTTATTAAGAAACCCGTAATAAAAGCTAATTTGTGGTAGAGTTTTAGAAAATTTAATTTATTTTATATATCAATGAATAAATATTTTTTATATAAATTATTCTTGTCTAATTAGATTTTTTTATTAAAAAAATCATAACAATAAATAGATAAATAGGTTAATTTGAATTTTATTATGTAGATTTTAGAGTTAGTTAATTTGTAATAGATTTTATAGAAAATTTTTATTTTCTTTAAATATATTATTGTTTCATTATATTTTTTTATTAAAAAAACTCATAATAAATAGATAAATAGGTAATACGTGTTATAATTTTATAGAAAATATTTTTAAAACTCTTTTTATATGAATTAATAAGTATTTTTCAAATTAGATTAGATTTTTATTAAAAAAAACTCATAATAAAAGGTAATTTGTAATAGAGTTTTAGAAAAATTATTTTATTTTTTATATCAATTAAAAAATATTTTTTATATTAATAATTCTTGTCTAATTAGATTTTCTTCAAGTTTCCCAGTTTCAACATCGGGATCCAAATCTTCTTCATGAAAATCTGCTTTAGTATGGGACTCTATTCTATTATTATTAAACTCTAACAAAAATTCTTTTTATAACAATTAATAAATATTTTTTATTTTAATAATTCTTGTCTAATTAGATTTACTTTTATTAAAAAATTCATAATAAATAGATAAATAGGTAATTTGTGTTAGAGTTTTATAGAAACTCTTTTGAACCTATTTTTATATCAGTTAACAAATATTTTTTTATATTAATAATACTTGTCTAATTATATTTTTTTTATTAAAAAACTCAAAATAAATATATAAATAGGTAATTTGTGTTAGAGTTTTATAGGAACTTTTTAAATATATCTTTGTCTAGTGTGATAGGCTTTTATTGAAAATCAAATAGGTAATTTGTGATAGATTTTTATAGAAATTATTTTATTTTCTTTAAATATATCATTTTCTAATTAGATTTAATTTTATTAAGAAACTCATAATAAAAACAAATTTGGGGTAGAGTGAGAGGGGTCTGAGTATAACAGCACCAACCAACACTTTTAATGAGTCTATTACCTATCCAACCATCAATAATTAAAGTGTTTGATCCTACTCTCAAGTGCAAAAATCATCTCTAACCTCAACAAGTTGAAAGAGAAAAATGCACCGCAAAAGACTTGAATGGACACATAGCAATTATTTGCAATCAGCAGTAGAATGTTTGATGCAATCAGGGGGAAAAAAAGAGAAGAAGAAGAAGAATGAAAAAAAAAAAAAAGGAACTTTGCTAATCTCACTCTCTGTATCTGTCCTCAAACAATTTGACATAGGGATTGAACATAACAAAATCTCAATTGCTAAAAGTTGAAAACTGAACTAACCAATTGGTCCAATCATCAATAACTAAGTCCTTGATTCAACCAAATCAAAGCCTAAAGGCACTAATTAAAATTATAGGTAGATATATCCCTTCAATCACTAACTAAAATTAGAAGACAAATCAATCCAATCACTGTCGATTATGTCCCCTACCCAACCAAAATCAACCATACAAATGCCGCGTCAAAAAACAGAAACCGTTCAAATTAAACAGTTAAAAAAAAATGTCAATTTGTTTCCGCATAAAATGTAGAAAGAACAAGAGAAATCATCATCTCAAAGCTACAACTATCACTATTTAAGACTTCAAAAATATGAACGGAACAGTGCAGAATCACTCTGCTTGCTTGCCTAAAAAATTGTAGGAAAAACAAGAGAAATCACAATTTCAAGACTACGATTTTCACTATTTAAAACTCCACTGAGACAGAAATAGTAAATTAGCGTGGTTAACACAAGTAGAAAAAACAGGAGAAATCATCATCTCAAAACTAGAACTATCACAATTAAAGACTCCACAAAACGTGAACGGAACAGTGCAGAATCAATCTGTTTGTTTGCCTAGAAATGTAGAAAAGACAATAGAAATCACAATTTAAAACTATGATTTTCACTATTTAAAACTCCAGAAAAAAAAAAAAAAAACCTCCATTAGAAGTACTCACGGTAATTGTAGAGAGAGAGACTTACCTGAGGGACGAGCATGATACCGACGGTGACACCAGACATGAGATCGATCTGCAAGTATTCTCGCCATTTGTATGTTCGAATCCAACGGTAACAAGGGAGGAAGAGCTCGATCCACTCGTTGGTGGTCATGCGCTTGACCTTGGACCGCCATGTCGAGATCAGAGGAAATTTCGACGGCGACTGCGAGGAAGACGACGTCGTCGTGTTAGGGTGTTGTAAAGGTATGACCTTCACCGGCCGGGAGGTCGTCGGCATGGCGGCCGAGGTTTCCGCTGCAGAGAGATCGCGAATGCTCGAGGAGGCGTACGTTATCTCCATGCGCACCCTCCGTGAACTTTTTAGATCACGCGGTGTAACGCACCTGCGTTTCCCTCGCTTCCTGGACCCACCCCTCTCTCTCTCTTTCTCTCTCCTCCAGTCCTCTCTTTAGGCTTTATATAATCATTATTAAATTCTTGTGGCGCCACACTCTTATCTTTGTTGTGGTCCATCGACCAAAATGAATCACGTGACTACTTACCCAAGAAAACATTAACATGGTAGAAAATAAAACTTTTTTTGTTTACGGAGTGTTAGCATCGTGGAAATATTTTTTAAATTAATTCTCAGAAGTGGAGTGTGGAGGAATATTTTGGAATTTTGTGGTGAGAATTTGATTCTACACTGAGAAAATGAAAGAATATTGAAATATGAGAGAAGACACGTGATCTAGCGGGGTTAGACATTTTTTTTTTTTAGTTGGGCCTACCTGCTCGCTCCCTTGCTCTTATCTTTGTTGGATTGGACCATTAAATGGTCCATTCCTACTTTGTGGGCTTGTAGAGAAAAAAAATTTAATTGCCGCAGTTGCAATAAGGGACGAGTCTAATGTGGGCTAAGTGGGGGGCGCAAATCCCCTATTGTTCATTATCCTACAGTCCTCTGCTGTGAGCTGATTAATGTCATGTTTGGCTTGGCACAAGAAAAAGAAGTTCACAAACGGCACAGTAACTTAACATGCCAACTGTAAAGCCAAAAAAAAAAGTTAAAATAAGTTACCGCCCCCGCTCTTCTGCAATTTCACTTTCCCCTTCTTTCCTTTTGCTTTTGTTATTTCCCTCCTTCCTTTTTCATTTTGTTCATTATTTCTTTTTAATTTCTTTAATCCAAACCCTAATTCGTCTCTCTTTGTTCCATAAAAAAAAACATATTGCTTTTGAATTACTTTTTTATTGAAAACCCTAATTCCTCTCTCCTTTATTATTACTTTTTTACTATCTTTTTTGAATCAAAACCTAGATTGCAATGTGCTGATTTCTTCAATGCAATGTCAGCTCTTCATCTACAGGAAGAAAATCTACAATGGACCTGATGTGGTATCTACAATTGACCTAATTAATGCTTGATTGTTGGTAAGTCTTAATACATGTTATTAATATTGTGCATTTAATATATTTTTCATTTACAGTGAAATTTTTGTTTTGAACAGAACAATGTAGATTTAGAAAATTTATGATTCTTCATTTGTCATCGATCTGTCATTGTAATGAATGTAAAATCTTCCATAATTGATTTTTAGAACTGAATTGGCTTCAGTAGGTATGAATGTGTTATAAAAAAAAATTGGTATTAAATGTATGCGGCAATTAGACATTTCAGAGGTTAATATTCGATATTTATGAGAAAAAAAAAATTGTGAAGTTTAACAAATAGGGACTCTGATCACCGTTACAATCAAAATAAGCTATTCACACAGTACTGACTAACTTATGTCACACATAAATTCAAGAATTTATGATTATTTCATTTGTCATCGGTTAGTGTAAACTATGATATTTTTTAGTTGAAATTGACATTGGTTAAGCATTATAGTGAATCTGAAATCTTGGATAATTGTAGGGTTTTTTTCTATAATTATAAATAAGCATTCTAGTGAATGTAAAATCTTCCATAATTATTTTTTTTAACTGAGTTGCCTCCATTAGGCACCAATGTGTTATCCAAATATTTTGCCTTCTCATGTATGCGGTAATTACACATTTCACGGGTTATTATGTGACATTTATGAGAAAAAAAAAAAAGATTGTGAAGTTTAATAAGTAGGGACATTGATCACCTTCACCATAAAATTAAGTTATTCACACAGTTCTGCAAAACTAATTTCATAACTCTGCCAAACTAATTTCACACCTAAATTTAACATTTTTTAATTTTTTCATTTGTCATCCGTTAGTGTAAATTATGAAATTTTTTTACTTAAAATTAGCAATGGTTAAGCATTCTAGCGTATTTGAAATCTTGGATAATTGTAGAATTTTCTTCCATAATCTTCGATAACCAATCTAGTGAATGTAAAATCTTCCATAATTATTTTTTTTAACTGAGTTGGTTTTGTTAGGTACAAATGTGTTATCCAAATATTTTGTCTCTCATGTATGCGACAATTACACATTTCACAGGTTTATGTGATATTAATGAGAAAAAAAAAAACACTGTGAAATTTAATAAGTAGGGACACTGATCACCTTCACCATCAAATTAAGTTATTCACACAGTTTTGCAAAACTAATTTCACACCTCTGCAAAACTAATTTCATACCTAATTTTAAGATTTTTTAATTTTTCATTTGTCATCCGTTAGTGTAAAATATGATATTTTTTTACTTTAAATTGACATTGGTTAAGCATTCTAGTGTATTTGAAATCTTGGATAATTGTACGATTTACTTCTATAATCTTCAATAACCATTCTAGTGAATGTAAAATCTTCTATAATTGTTTTTTTTCACTGAGTTGGCTTCATTTGGTACTAATGTATTATGCAAATATTTTGTCGTCTCATGTATGCGGCAATTACACATTTCACAGGTTATTATGTGATATTTATGGGGAAAAAAACAATATGAAGTTTAATAAGTAGGGATCCTGATTACCTTCACCATCAAATTAAGTTATTCACACAGTTCTGCAAAACTAATTTCACACCTAAATTTAACATTTTTTAATTTTTTCATTTGTCATCAGTTAGTGTAAATTATGATTATTTTTTACTTGAAATTGACATTGGTTAAGTATTATAGTGTATTTGAAATCTTGGATAATTGTAAGATTTTTTTCTATAATCTTCAATAACCATTCTAGTGAATGTAAAATCTTCCATAATTATTTTTTTTAACAGAGTTGATTTCATTAGGTACCAATGTGCTATCCAAATATTTTGTCTTCTCATGTATGCGGCAATTACACATTTTACAAGTTATTATGTGATATTTATGAGAAAAAAACATTGTGAAGTTTAATAAGTAGGGACACAGATCACCTTCACCATCAAATTAAGTTATTCATACAGTTCTGCAAAACTAATTTCACACCTAAATTTAACATTTTTTAATTCTTTCATTTATCATCAGTTAGTGTAAATTATGATATTTTTTTACTTGAAATTGACATTGGTTAAACATTCTAGCGTATTTGAAATCTTGAATAATTATAGGATTTTCTTCAATAATCATTCTAGTGAATGTAAAATCTTCCATAATTGTTTTTTTTAACTGAATTGGCTTCATTAGGTACAAATGTGTTATCCAAATATTTTGTCTTCTCATGTATGTGGCAATTACACATTTCACAGGTTATAATATGATATTTATGAGAAAAAAAAAATACTGTGGAGTTTAATAAATAGGGACACTGATCACCTTTACCATCAAATTAAGTTATTCACACAGTTCTGTAAAACTAATTTCACACCTCTGCAAAACAAATTTCACACCTAAATTTAACATTTTTTACTTCTTTCATTTGTCATCCGTTAGTGTAAATTATGATATTTTTTTACTTAAAATTAACATTGGTTACGCATTCTAGTGTATTTGAAATCTTGGATAATTGTAGGATTTACTTCTATAATCTTCAATAAGCATTCTAGTGAATGTAAAATCTTCCATAATTATTTTTTTTAACGGAGTTGGCTTCATTAGGTACCAATGTGTTATCCAAATATTCTGTTTTCTCATATATGCGGCAATTACACATTTCACAGGTTATTATGTGATATTTATGAGAAAAAAACATTGTGAAATTTAATAAGTAGGGACACTGATCACCTTCACCATCAAAATAAGTTATTCACACCGTTCTACAAAACTAATTTCACACCTAAATTTAACATTTTTTAATTCTTTCATTTGTCATCTGTTAGTGTAAATTATGATATTTTTTTACTTGAAATTGACATTGGTTAAGCATTCTAGCGTATTTGAAATCTTGGATAATTGTAGAATTTTCTTCTATAATCTTCAATAACCATTCTAGTGAATGTAAAATCTTCCATAATTGTTTTTTTTTAACTGAGTTAGCTTCATTAGGTACCAATATGTTATCCAAATATTTTGTCTTCTCATGTATGCGGCAATTACATATTTCACATGTTATTATGTGATATTTATGAGAAAAAAAATACTGTGAAGTTTAATAAGTAGGGACACTGATCACCTTCACCATCAAATTAAGTTATTCACACAATTCTGTAAAACTAATTTCACATCACTGCAAAACTAAATTCACACTTAAATTTAACATTTTTTAATCCTTTCATTTGTCATCCGTTAGTGTAAATTATGATATTTTTTTTACTTGAAATTGACATTGGTTAGGCATTCCAACGTATTTGAAATCTTGAATAATTGTAGGATTTTCTTCTATAATCTTCAATAACCATTCTAGTGAATGTAAAATCTTTCATAATTATTTTTTTTAACTGAGTTGGCTTCATTAGGTACTAATGTATTCTCCAAATATTTTGTCTTCTCATGTATGCGGTAATTACGCATTTCACAGGTTATTATGTGATAGTTATGAGGAAAAAAATATTGTGAAGTTTAACAAGTAGGGACATTGATCACCTTCACCATCAAAATAAGCTATTTACACAGTTCTGCAAACTAATTTCACACCTCTGCAAAACTAATTTCACACCTAAATTTAACATTTTTTAATTCTTTCATTTGTCATTTGTTAGTGTAAATTATGATATTTTTTTCCTTGAAATTGACATTGGTTAAGCATTCTAATGTATTTGAAATCTTGGATAATTGTAGAATTTACTTCTATAATCTTCAATAACCATTCTAGTGAATGTAAAATCTTCCATAATTATTTTTTTTAACTGAGTTGGTATCATTTGGTACCAATGTGTTATCCAAAATTTTGTCTTCTCATGTATACGGCAATTACACATTTCACAGGTTATTATGTGATATTTATGAGAAAAAAAACATTATGAAGTTTAATAAGTAGGGACACTGATCACCTTTACCATCAAATTAAGTTATTCACACAGTTCTACAAAACTAATTTCACACCTCTGCAAAACTAATTTCACAGCTAAAGTTAACATTTTTTAATTCTTTCATCTGTCATCAGTTAGTGTAAA